ATAATTTGCGTTTGAGATGGAGTTTTGACAATCGACCTTATTTTCTTCATGGAGAATTTGTTGAATTTGTATGTAAAGCATACCACACTACACTTCTATCAAGTTCATCCTCTGATTTTAGAGTACAGTGTCAGAATGGACAACTATTGTATCCACAATGTGTTAGGAGTATATAGTAAGTAGAACATTATTGGCAATATATTTCCATACTTACATAGTTCTAGGTTTTCCTTATTCAAATGTATTTTAAGGATTTGGCCATATTGGCTACCAAAATGGTATTGAGACAATGTACAGTATATTAAAAACATTTCTCTAAAGCATTCAAACAATTATTGCTAACTCAAAAATACCATCAGTTTCCAAGGATTCCCTCTTTGGTTTCTTCCATTCTGCCATAATTAGAAAAGTAGAAGATTGTTATTTTTTAATTTATTAAAGCTCAGTTGAGCCTGAACTATTGGCAATATGAAAAATATTCTGTTTTATTAAATTAAACATCTCTAACCAAGACATAGCTTGGTTCAGGCACTATAGAACATTTGATGGATATTTATGCAATGCACCTTTATTATATAAAGCAGTTGGTTAAATAGAGGAAGGGAAAGTATTCCAGTATGTGGAACATAAAAGGAGATTTATACATTAGACAGTGTCAGTCTGTTCACAAATATGAAAAAAAATATTGCTATACAATTCTTCCTTTTTTTTTTTTAAAGATGAGAGATCAGTTGAAAGAAAATGCAGCGTTTTGCAACAGGTTAATTGGAAGTTACATTGGTTTATATAACCTCTTCTCTTTGAGCTGAGCAGTACTACTGTTTTATCACTTATGAATAATTAATATTACACACTAAACCAAGTTTTAGAAATGCTGGTTATAGTTATATTCTTTGTCTCTCATTGTAAGTAACACTAAATGTATTTGTTTTTCTTTAGGTAAGAAAATGAAAAAAAAAAAACCTTGAGTGACTTCTTTGCCTCATACCATGTTACAATAAGCAGACAAATTAACTTTCAATATGTACCTTTTTTTTTTTTTTACTGCTGGAAGACTATAGTCACTCAGGTTGATTGGAATAGCCGTTGATTTTAGCATGCAACATCATTTGAAGATGCTTGTAAACAGAATAATTCTGTGATCAATATTTATTGTTGCAATAAATGTTCATATTTATTATAATAAACATCACATTTGCATTTACTCACTTCATTTTTAAAATACCAAATTTATGAAATGTTATTCTTTTTTTCTTATTCATAATTTAATGAACAAGGCATTTTCATATCTGAGACTAATCAGCATGATCCGGGTACTCTTAGGTGACAGGATAACAGACAAACCAAAAAGCAAGTTTATTAACATTATATATCAAGTGTATTCTTAAAAATATCTGCTTAACAAAATAAAAGTGCATATTAGGCTCTCAGAACGCACTTTTTCTAATACAGAAATCTTAATGGTCTTCCATGAAGGTCCTTGACATGCTATAGGTATTACAAGAGTAATCAGATTTTATAATCAGTTTATAATGCAAAGACATGCTCTTCTTGATTACCTATGCCCAGAATCTAATGTATTTCCTAAGTAAATCTCCAAAGCAGCTTTCCTAAAGTCCACATTGGCTAGAAATTCCAGAAATGGCAGAACTACCACATCAAAAACATACTGAATATTCCTAAACATTCCTTCTATTGTTCCTCAGAAATTGGAACATAATTTTATCTCCATCAGGATTCAAGGTAGACTATTACTGTTATTTGAAGCAACATCTACTATAAGGTTATTATTGCAGTCACCCACATGATTCGTAGTATAAAATATGTCCTGACCAAATTGTTGCAGAAAGAGTAACCTTTCTTTTAAATAGAATTATGCTTGCTTTACTCTGAAGTAATAAAACTGGATGGGAAGATATACCTGGTTAACAAAGAAATAATGGAACAAATGGATTTTTACTGAATAATATTGAACAGTAGGATTAAAATAGATTTACCTATTTCTGCAGATCATTTATATCCCTCTATTACTAATCTATTCTGTCCCTAAAATTATTTCTAACTTTATCTCCATTATGGGGAGAGGTATTCACAATTCTGGACTTAAGATTTATCCCTTTAACTGCACATTCCAACTCCCTCTCTCCAGTTTATTCCTTGTAATATCTGAAAAACGAGCTCACTGTAGCCGTTCTTTAATTGGTAGTTATAATACCCAATCTTCCCAGTATTCATCCATGCAAACAATTATTCCCTTTAACCTTGGGATACAGAATTTGGTGAGCCACTGCCTCTTTGGAACTCAGTAGCTTCGTCCATTGTATAATTCCAGAGGGAGCCAAATTGCTCTGATTGCTATTCCTCAGAGAATCCTAGAAATTCTTCTGTGAAAAAAGTCAAGAGCAGAACCTCTGCTATCTGGTCTGAGAGATTCATTGCAAAGACGCACAGCTTAGGTAAAGAGACTGCCTTGACACTGAGTCTCCACTCCCTTGTGTAAAGGAGACAGATATCTGAATGCTTTGCCATTTCATCCTCAGCAACTGCTTGAACAACAGATAGTGTTTCTTGGATGGGGATATTTGAAGATCAGTATAAAGATGAATAAGGACCTGGTATCTCTCTCCCTTTTATACATCACTGGAAATATTGAGCAATCTATCACACTTTTCCCAGGTAATCTCTTCATACCAAGGCCATCCTTCACAATCTGATTCAATTAGTGAGCAACATAGATGATTCTAACAAAGATTCCTAAGGGGTTGCCCTTTTCATGTTGCTCTACTACCCGGCTATGATTGAGATCTAGCAACTCAATATGCATAACTCATCTGCTATATGAGTCATGTTCATTATCCACCATGATAATGTTCTGCATCATGAGAAGTCCTGTGCTTATTGTGGAAGACATTAGGAACAGGAATAGCACTACTACCCCATTGTGCTTTAAAGCATTCTCTCTGAGTAGTTTATAATGTCAGCATTTTGGCCCCAACAATCTGGGCCCTCATTTTACTGACCCTGGAAGGATGGAAGACTGAGTCAACTTTGAGCCCCATCAGGATCAAACTTAATATTTTCCTGCAGTAGTTGCATTCCAACTACTGTGCCACCAGGGCTCTTCATTCTTTTATTTTCACCCCATTGACAACAGTACATGCTGAGGGAAAGGTAAGAAGACAAAGCTCACTTCAACTGGACCAAGATAAAATGAACATAAGGACTTCAGCTTATTGCTCGCACTATTCACAACACTTTCTTGCTGCATCTATGATTAGGGTAAGTACTGCCTGCCTGGCAAAGTTTCTGGTTGAAAGATAAAGCAGTTGGTGCAATCAGATGGGAAAAGTGCCAGACTCCATTCTCCTCCAATATATAGAATAGCTAGCTAGTCATACAAAAGTATCATCTAGTATTTTTGAATCACTCTGCTGCTTACTGGCAAATGACTGCTTCAATCTCTGGAAGGATCTTGATGTTTGAGAGCCATATGGGTGAGCAATATGGATTCTGTTGTAATGTCAGAGATAGGCAAAACAGGTGATTTAATGCTGCCAAGAAGGAAAGTGCCCCCCATTTATGTATTGCAGTGGTTGCAAACAACCCAGAATAGATCTTTTAAACATCTTAGAGTGCTACTACACCACCATGCTTGTTTTCTAGTAATGGGTGATCCGCTGTGTTCCCAATACCACCACATGCCATTGTCTCAGATTCAGAAAGAATCTTCTTCTTCACCCTGACCTTTGGCCTCAATTCTTGGGTTTCTAATGGAGGGAGCAGACTGATTGCAGGTAAGTGCTCACTTATCAATTGTCTCACACAGCAACAGTTCAAAATGATGACAGTTCTAGAAAAAAGAAGCTTTGTGACCAATCCTCATAATTACAATTGTTGACAACTGCAGACACATGATCATGGATTGTGTGCTTCACAAAAAACTTGTGACGAGCAGAATTAATACAGAAAGTAGACGTAAAATCATAACTTACAATCATGATTTTTTGCTTGGTAACCACTTAAAGTGCTCTTGTTTAAAGACTGAAGGGGAAGTAAGGTCATAAGCCTAGTTGCCATCTAGGTGAAATAGCCTGGACTAAGAAAAAAAAATATTTTCCTTGGAAGGTAAAAAAAGATGCATAGACCGCTATGTTAAAAATGCCAGTATCACCTTTTAAAATGCTAAAAATGAAGCCTAAAATTCCAGGTAACAGAATCACTTTTGCCTTAGGACAAGGAGGAATAGTACTAAATAGTACTAAAACCATTTCTTTCAGCATGATTTTATTACTCTGCTCGTCTCTCTTTATGTAGGGAACCTTGGCTAGGCCTTCTAATCTGTAATTGGCCTTACTCCCTCAGCTATGGCTTATTCCATTGTTTTATTTCTTTTACTTAAGGCACGGATGTCAAACTCGATTGCATCATGTGACATATTGTGATGCATCGTGACTTTTTTGCCTTTGCAGAGTTGGGGTGGCCGTGGCCTGCGCATGACGCATCTGGCCCATGGACCGCCAGTTTGACACTCCTGATTTAAGGGAAGCCCTAAACTGAAGGGTGAGCAGAAGCTTTAAAGGCAAAACAGATCCTTTTTTAAAACAGAAGAAGATTCCTGTTTAGAATGTGGACATGTACTGTAGCTAGTAAGCTGCAGTAAATACACACAAATACACACAAATATAACTGGAAGAATGAATTCCCCAAAATAGAGGATAAGCAGCCTTTCCCAATATTCTTTTGCTCAAATGTCTCTCTCCCACTTGCTCTGTAGAGATCATTCAGCATATTTGTATACTAATGTTCAGGTCTCAGAAACTCCCATGTGGGCTTTGTTGCATAAGAATTAGTTTAGGAATTTCAAGTCTGTTCCCCATAGTCCTTGACTTTCCTTTATAATACAGGTTTCTAATAAGCACAGAAGTCTTGTGGACTTTGGAGTCTGAATAAGTAAATAATCAGTTTTGTGGATCCAGAGGTGAAAAACCTTTCCAAGGACAGTCATTGGTGTCAGTGATTAAAAGTCTCAACTGTACAGTGCAGAGGTTGACAATAAAATACCGACATGCGCTGTTTTGGCTATATAATTTTTGTCCTATTATGGACAAATTGTGTTCTCCAGAAGGGTAAGTTATTCAAGAAGAAGTAAAAGTTGTCTTTTTTGCAAGGCAAATGGATTTTTGTTAGTACTTTTAAAGAAAAGATAAATATCAATTATTTTAAAATAAGACTTATAAAACAAGAACATGTCATGAGAAAATTGTGATTTACCATATATGTATCTAAATCAGATAATAGATTTGTTCTTTATGTTGCAGCGCATATATATTGGCTAAGTAATTGTAGCTAGATGCTCAATTATGTCTATTCAGCTTATATGCTGAAATGTAATACATAATGATACTTGATTGCCTTTTCTGAATTTTGCAATAGTTACAGAACTCACAGGCACTTTGCCGTCAAGGATGCATGTATATATCTGTTGTGGCATTTAGCCACCTTTATTTTATTTTAAAATTTGGAGTTCTATGTTCCACTTCAACAGATGCAATAATTGCCAGTGACAAGTATGTGTGGGTTTATCATTAGATTATTGGTAAACAATGAGGTTAGATGAAAATGAAATACTGATGGTGTATTAGGTTGTAAGTAAAAGAAAGACTTGGTTGAAGTTGTCATTAATAATCAACTGATTTTTATTAATCAATTATTAATAATTCAGTTAGTAGATGGAATTGAGAAGCTGTTTTACTTAGCAGGTTTTGGAAAATCAATGAATTATTTGTTATATAATATGTTGCACTTGAAGATAGTTGTTGACAGGGAAAACTGGTTGCAAAAATTTTTTGGCTGGGTTTCAGTACCAGTTTTGTACTTTGACAAGGCAAACACACATATTATACTCTAACCTCCAGTTACAAACCTGTGCATTTGAAGAAGTAGGTAAAGTTTGCAAAAGTTTATGGCAAAATAACTTTTGCTAGGGTTTAAGAAGCTTCAGGTTGTCACCAGTATTTTTGTATTGTTTCCCAGTTGAACACATTACAATGTGTTATTCTATGCACTGAGGAATATTAATAGCATCCATCGAAGGCTGCACTTAATGTTTTCTCTGAGGAAAAATGCCACAGTTGGTAGGACAACAATGCAAAATGTGAAGTGCTATGTCACACATTTGACCAAGGGCCAGGATCTCTGTGTGTGTATGTCTGTGTGATTTGTTTTTTCTTTTCTTATTTAGTTTTTGAATAATTGTTTAAGCATATATAGGAAGACCAGACTACTGCTTTTGAACAATGATGGGCTGTGGTGTGCACCTTTGGAGCTAGCTAACAGATTGACATGGGGTTCCTTGTTTAATCCCTACCATTGCTTGTTGTGTACAAATATGAAGTCATTGTGAAAGTGCTGGGGAAAAGTCTGAGCAATAAGGCAGTTTTCATGGTCATAGTCAAATATACTGTATACCTTAAGAACAGCAGGCAGACAAGTGTATAATTATAATGGTATGTGAGAAAGGCCTTGGGAAGCTGGGTGAAGAAACCAAGGGAATAGTCCTTGAGAGACCAGGTAAGAGACAGAATAGTACAAGAGGCAAATGGCTCAGAAGAGATTCTTTCTAGTTTCTCCGGCTGAAATGAGACAGGGCAAGGGTGTGTGTGTGTGTGTGGGGGGGAAGGATTGTATTTTCATACAGACAGTCTTTGACTTACAGCCATTCATTTAGCAACTGTTCTAAGTTGCTACAGCAGTGAAAAAGTGACTCACACTTACAACTATTGCAACATCTCCATGGTCATGTGATCAAAATTTGGGCACTTGGCAAAGTGCCAAGTGTATTTATGATGACTGCAGCATCTCAGGGTTATGTGATTACCATTTGCAACCTTCCCAGCAGGTTTCTCCTGATAAGCAAAGTCAATGTGAGGAAAGCTGGTTCACTTAACAACCAAATGATTCATTTAACACGTGCAATGATTCACTTAGCAATCATGGAAAAAAGTCATAACACTGGAGGTATCTCACAACAATCACCTTGCTCAGCAATAAAAATTCTGGTTCCAGCTGCGGTCATAAGTTGAGGATTACCTGTACTTACAAGTTTCTGCCAATGTAGCCAATTACAATAAAGTAGATTCAGCTGATCTGGTTGTTTTTTTTTACTAACTCCTTTATCCTGTAGCACCAACATCAATCTTGCAATCTCCCTTTCTCTTATCTGAACATTCCCTTGGCTATGTCTCTTTATCCAACTTCCCAAGGCCTTTTCCTTACGTTATTACAGCTGTTGATTCAACATTTACTAGCCCTGAGTCATGCTAAAGGAAAAGGGTATTTACTATTCCTGACTTGCAATCTTCTCCTTTATAAAACAACTGGGAGAAAAAAGAAACTATATTATAAAGCAGGCAGGTCAAACTGCGGGGGGAACCACGCCCACCCCATTGCCGGCAATGGGGAAAAAGGCACGATATGTCACGTGACGTCACATGACATCGCAAATTTGACATGCCTGCTATAAAGGAAAAAAGAAAACAGTTTTACAGAAAGGATGCACAACTGGTATTGAAATTAATGGAATTTAGGTTTTACATAATAATTACATTCGTTGATTTCAATGTGGGTGGAAAGTAGTTTAATTAAAAAAATTTGGGGGGGGGAAATCAGTTCTTTCTGATAAATAGAAGGACTTACAAATGATTCTTTAAATGACAATGGGAAGTAGCCATTGCATTTACATTTTGCAGAAAACAAATTACTGACAGGCAAGGAATTTTTACTCCCAAAGAAATGGCAGAGCTTATAAGTGAAGAAAAATATCATTAATTTATTCCATTAATAGAAATTAAGTTCTTCTGTCTGTAAAACATGGCATAATTGCACACTAGAACGACTAGACATAAGGACATTTTTTTCCCCGTGCCCTCACTCTGCTTAACAACTAATTCCTACAACACTGTCAAAATACTAGTAAAGCTGTATTACTATGATACTCCTCATCTTTCCTATTACCTATCCTTATCTTCTTATGACTATAACTTGCTGCTTGTATCTTACAATTTATATTGGGTATTTTTTGTACCCTAGTATGATTTATGTTGTTTGCTTAGCTAGTACTCTATGACTATCACTAAGTGTTGCATCTTTTGATTTATGATGAAGTGTTGTATTTCACCATTTATGATGAATGTATTTTCATGTTGTATATGATCATGATTATCCCTATTACTTGTATGTACACTGAGAGCTTATGCACCGGAGACAAATTCCTTGTGTGTCCAACCACACTTGACCAATAAAAGAATTCTATTCTATTCTATTCTATTCTATTCTATTCTATTCTATTCTATTCTATTCTATTCTATTCAATAATAATAATAATAATAATAATAATAATAATAGTAGTAGTAGTAGTAGTAGTAGTAGTAGTAGTAGTAGTAGTAGTAGTAGAAATTTACTACCACCTTTTTGCATTCTACATTGCTCTTTCAGTATCCCAGCAGATGCAAGTTGCATATGATGATTTGGTCAATCTACTTACTGAACCAGGTAAGATACAAACTCAACTATTCAATTCATAAAAAAATGAATTTCAATAAGGGCACTAAACCTTATATGACATATGCTTTGTAAAAATTTGAGGAAGTAAACAAAAATATATCTCAAAATCAGCCATCTCAAACTCAGATTATCATTTATATATACATACCATGTATCATGGACAAATCTATAAATATAGATACAAACTCAAGGTGACAAGCATATCTAATTCTCCTGCCTTCTATGAGATGTGTTGGCCTAAGAAAGAGTAACTGGCACAAAGTCACCCAGCTGTCATTCATGCCTAAGACAGACCTAGAACTTACAGTCTCTTGTTTTCTAGGCTATCATTGTTAACTACTACACTAAAGTGGATTGCCACTGAATGTTCACTGGGGGACTTTACAATTATTGAAAGAATTCCACTAAATCTGAATCCAGCTCAATATGTTATATATGTTCAGTATAGGAGGAACATATGTATATGTTACAATATTATTGTTTCATGCTAATAAAATGACAATGGGCTATGAGTATTATGAATTTCTTAGGATCATAGATCTTCAAAAATGTGATGTTTTGTCTTTATCTAGGAACTCTTGATGACATCAACTTTGTATATTGTCAATTAGGAAAATAGTCTTGTTATATCTTATGAAAATATCCTAACTCTACAATGTTTCAATTTTTCACAATTATAATTAATTATGTTAATTCTGTGTTATTAATTAGTCAATCATTTATTTTTTAAAAAATACTTTTTAAATTTTTACTGTTTTAAGTAAAAAATATTTAAAACAATAAAATTAATCATATTTAAAACAATAAAATATACAGAAGCAAATGTATATTATACCTAGCATAATATAGTTCATTCAGAAATGATGTACATTTTCACAAAAGTAAAATAAAATAAAAAAATACACATTCCCTATAGCACATCCTTTTTCATTTTCAAGCAGATAGTCCTATAATCGGTGACTTTGTTGACCCGAGATTCCCAGAACAGAAAGTAGAACCATAATTAATTGTAACTGAGCTATAGAACCTCTTCAGAAAAAAATGTCCTAATATTGTGCAGAATTCATAACAGAGATGGAGAAAAAATGGGGAATAGTAGATAGAAATTATAACTTATTACTTAACCTTCCAAAGTTAAATGCTGGGCAAAGTGGGAGATCAGAAGTATTAGAAATGGAGAACTTCTTGAAAGATCCACTTCCCGAGATACTGTATCCTTTGGACTGTGTTTAAACCAAAACTGGGAAGCATTTTGAGACTTCTGTAGTACAGAAGAAATTGCTTGCAATATAAAGAGGAAATTATTCTACTTCATGACTTGGCTGGATTGGGACTAATTTATTAAGATTGCTTTTAATAACAAAAATATTTGCTCATAGTTTTATGACTTTGTGCATTTTGTTTTTATGGTTATTGGAACGTATCACTGTTTTTAATGAAAGAAAATATATCTTTGTCTAATAATGATAAATAAGATATTACTTGGCTCTGCTCTCTCATAATAATTGAACAGGAGTAGTAACTGTCATAGATTATAATGTAGAATCCAATGATAAATAGGAGAAAGTCTTTTGGTATTTGGCCTTCAGAGTAAAAAAAAAATAAATCATTCTGTTTATTCCATGCTCTTATACAGTACAATTATATCCAGGATTGGACATTACTTGTTACTCAGTGTAATATATCCATTTATTAAATATTTTAATTGCAGAGATTCCAACAAGTTGTGGTCCTCCACCTGCTATTGGCAATGCAATGCTTCTAACCAACAGAAGACAGGAATTCTCGTCAGGTGAATCTGTGATATATGAGTGCTATAGGCTGTACGAAATGGAGGGAACTCCAATTGCAAAGTGTAAGAATGGCCATTGGAGAGGTGTCCCAAGATGTGTTCGTAAGTATACAGTTTAAAACTGATCATTCCTGTTCTGATGGCAAAATATCCTTCTTAAAAAAGAACACTAAACATAACACAAAAAGATAAATGGCTATTTTTCTCTGATATTCTTGCAAAGCCAGGCCATATGCTATCAGAGGCTGAGGGCAGCAATATCATGAAAGGCAAAGTTTTATAGTACTTTCCTGAATTTTTTTTTTAAAAAGTTGCACCACTTCATGAAATAAAGAAACATGAAATATATTCAATCAAAAAAGACTGTTGAATAGAATGTAGTCATTTTAAATGAAAACTGGCAAAACTCCTTAGCCTTTCCCTGGGTTATATTATTTTGGTTACATTAGAGCAGGGGTGTTAAACTCGCAACGTCACGTGACATGTTGTGACGTATCGTGACTTTTTTGCCATTGCAGGCAATGGGGTGGGCACAGTTTCTCTATGATGCATCCGGCCTGTGGCTCAGCAGTTTGACACCTCTGCATTAGAGCATGAGAAATGTATATTAAAAGTTGATACATAAGGGTTCAATCATTACAGTATATGAAGCATACAGTCAAAGAATTTTTTTTGGGCAAAATACTATCTCAGCCATACTGTTTAGTATTAGTGAGACAACTTCCTCAACCACTTACAATTCCTCATTTAGCAGCTGCCTCATTTTACCAACTGTTTACAGTTATGGCAGTGATGAAAAAGTAATTTTGTGACCAATCCTTACCTTTACAAATTTCACAGGTGTCTAAAACAAAGGAAAACAGAAGTAAGATCATAAACACAGTCATGGTTTCACTTAGCAAACACTTCATTTAACAACCAAGTTGCCAATATCATTATGGTCACTAAACAAGGTCTACCTGTAGCTTAGCAATATCATGGAAAGGCAGCAAATAGTTGTTTAGGTTTTTACATATTAGTAGTAGGATTTAAGTGCCCAACAGTTGGTATTATGAGCCATGACTGGGGAAAAAGAAAAAGGTTCTTTGCTACTTCCCCCCAAATTGAAAAGTCTATGGATCTCATTCATTTTATTCAATGACATTGTAACTTGGAATACATATTGATTTTATTCATTATCCTTATAGAAGTTTTAAACATGATTCTCATATTGTCATCACCAAAGAAAAGGAAAATATAGACACTTTGGTGTTTAACTTAAGGACTAGCCAATCAGCATTTTGCAGATCTTGTTCAGTTTTAAACTTATACTACATTTCTTCAGTACATCCTCAGGTAATCCCTTGCTACCAAGACAACTCCTTCCTCAAGCCACACTCTTACGTAGTCAATAGACCTTGAACAGGAAATGGATAAAGAAATACATATAACAGGCTTTCTTTCTGTAGATATCTGTGCCATATTTACAGCACACAGATGCTAGGAATCTGGAGAACGTAATCTGCAGATCGATTCAACATTTCACACAGAAAACCATGAAAAGACTCACAGAGATGTATACCAACTATAAAGAAGAAAGACTAAGAAAAATTCCCCCTGTGCTTTAGAGAAAAGTAATATACATATCATAATATAAATATGCATCTATAGCAGCAGCACTACTGAAATGAAATGATGTGTATCTGCTTTCGTTCTCAGATAACAAACTGACAACCTTTCAGTAAGTTACCAAAGCATATTATCATAATGCTACAGTTTGGCCCTGGCTTCCAAATGTTTCTGAAGGAAACTGATTTTTAGGTCTGTTTTAGACCAATTTCAGGCCAGACTTTGGTTGCCTTGATTGGATGATCTGCCAAGAGGAGAGACATAGGGCAATTTTCATTACTCATGTTCCTGGACATCTTGGAGGCTTTGGATACTTTCAATCATGAAATTCTTTTGCCCTGTCTTTGAGAATTGACATTGGAGGACTTCTGCTCAAGTCCATGATCTTTGGACTATGGGAAGCCATATCCCCAATTAACTTTTTGGGGTTGCAGAGAGTGATTTTAAGGGTGGTAGATCTGGGTGCCACCTTATGTAGAATAGCTAGTACCCAGGTTTATTTCTTTTTCATAACTGTCAGTAATGCCAGGTTCTTAAATTGGCTTTTATCTGGACTACATTGTAGTCTGGGTAATTTGTAACAGATTGAAAAAGTGAATCCATATGAATCTGAGGGTCTGATGCTCAGTCAGTCAGTTTGAAGAGCCTTACTTGCTTCTGAAGGGATATTACTCCATTATGTGAAAAAGACCAGGCGGAAATCCTGGATTCTACTATTCTGTCACCCAGAATACCTAGCGTAGTGGCCAGTAGCATTGGGAACAGGTATAGATCAGATAGGATGCTCCTGAAGAAAATGCAGAAATTGCAGAAGGGTCGAAGGCAACATTTAGGCTCCTGGTGTGGGCATCTTAGCGCAAGCATAAAACATCTGTGTTGGCTAAGCTGCATTTCATGCAAAGTTCAATACTTGTTATTACAATGAAGAAATAACTTCCCATATTATTTATGGGCTTCTATAGGTGCTGCCCTGCAAAGAAGCATGTTTTAGATAAGGATTTTTCTATAGCAGCACCAATACCTTAGAATTCTCTTCCCCAGTCAGCCTCTTTTTTAATGTCCTTAAGACATATTTTGATACTTTAGTGTACTTTATACTTTAAAACATATTTTTATATTTTTCCCATAGTTGTCATGCCCATTTTGCTACCTCATCTTAATATGTCATATATTCTTAATGCATTTTTAAAAATAATATTATGAGCAGTAGATTTTTGATGCTTGTAATGCTTTTAGATAATTTGGGGTATATTTTATTATTTGTTTTTCATTTTCTGGATCTATTGTTTATTTTTTGATTCTATTTATCAATAGCTGCAGGATCGCTTATTAGGAGCATGTATTGTATATACACACACACATACAAATATGCAAATAAACAATTAAAAGTTAAAAATTGGGGCATAGTTACAATAATAATCATTCTTCAGTATAAATGGATATATTTATTTGCAGCAGGGTATTTAGGAATTTTTGCTCAATAGCTAAGTTTTTCAGAAGATCAGAGACTAAGACCATTATAATCAGTATCCAAAATCTATGACTACCACAACCAATATCTCATTGTCAGGTACAGTAATTCATATTAGTCTGATAAAATTAACATGTTTGATATGATTAATATCCCCTTCAGTTTATCTGTATATTATACCTAAAAGTTCACCACCATCCATAATTTAACATAAGACTTAAATAAAAAAGTCAACTTTATTAATTATTCTGTTCTAATTATTCAACACTGGGTTTAGCGTGATATATCAATTTAATAGATAAGCACATTTATTTATTCTTCAGAAACCTGTAGAGCTGATCAAGTCGACATGGACCGCAACAATATTCAGCTTAGGTGGTTTACTAAATCAACCTCCTGGAGAGCATCTGATTATTGGATGGAGTTTGAGTGTAAACTGGGATTTCGTAAGCATCCATTATCATCACCATTTATGAAACAATGTGTAAAGGGACCATGGGTGTATCCCAGATGTGTATAATAAGAGTTAAGTATTTCCTAATTCACCTATAAAAAATCCACACATATTCACTTAATAACTTTCTCTTTATATATTGGTGTGTAATTAAGGTACTTTTAAAAATCAGAAAGAAAGAACACAGGGGCAAATTGTGTTGATTGTTATCCTGCCTGCTGACATCTCCTGCTATTGATTATTTGTGGGCTCTTTGGTCTTTAGAATCCTCAGAAGTGAAACTTAACTGACATACGTTACCACCAGAAGCACAAATACTATTCAGTTTTCCTATTTAATCATAACTCCCCATCCCTTCTTGATAATTAATGATTACATTGTGTGCCATCTGGAGATCCCATCTGAGGGAGCGATCATAGTACAGAACTCTGTCAACTCACCTTTCAACTCTAGACAATTATAAGAATCCTAGTACATAGATCTGCTGTTCTCAAACTATATACCCCAGCATTTCAGGTTACCATAGCAAACTCACAGGAATCCTGCAGCATATTTTAAAGGGAAACACAGTGATATTCAATATCTGCTGGACCAATGGTTCTCAACCTTCCTAATGCCGCGACCCTTTAATACAGTTCCTCATGCTGAGGTGACCCCCCAATCATAAAATTATTTTCGTTGCTACTTCATAACTGTAATTTTGCTACTGTTATGAATCGTAATATAAATATCTGATATGCAGGGTGTATTTTCATTGTTACGAATTGAATATAATTAAAGCATAGTGATTAATCACAAAAACAATATAGCAATGCTCACTGGAGAAGCTTCCTTGCTCAAAAATGCTGGGAGGAAGGGAAGGGGAAGGAAGGAAGGAAGATTGAAGGGGAAAGGAAGGAGATGGAGAAGGAAGGAGATTGAAGGGGAAAGGAAGGAAGGACAAAGAGATTGAAGGGGAAGAATGGAGATGGAGATGGAAGGAAGGAAGGCAGATTGAAGGGGAAAGGAAGGAGATGGAGAAGGAAGGAAGATTGAAGGGGAAAGGAAGGAGATGGAGAAGGAAGGAGATTGAAGGGGAAAGGAAGGAAGGAGAAAGAGATTAAAGGGGAAGGGATGGAGATGGAGATGGAAGGAAGGAAGGAAGATTGAAGGGGAAAGGAAGGAGATGGAGAAGGAAGGAGATTGAAGGGGAGGAAGGGAAGGGGAAGGAAGGAAGGAAGATTGAAGGGGAAAGGAAGGAGATGGAGAAGGAAGGAGATTGAAAGGGAAAAGAAGGAAGGAGAAAGAGATTGAAGGGGAAGGATGGAGATGGAGATGGAAGGAAGGCAGATTGAAGGGGAAAGGAAGGAGATGGAGAAGGAAGGAAGATTGAAGGGGGAAGGAAGGAAGGAGAGAGAGATTGAAGGGGAAGGGATGGAGATGGAGATGGAAGGAAGGAAGGAAGATTGAAGGGGAAAGGAAGGAGATGGAGAAGGAAGGAGATTGAAGGGGAAAGGAAGGAAGGAAGGAAGGAAGGAGAGATTGAAGGGGAAGGGAAGGAGATGGAAGGAAGGAAGGAAGAAAGGAAGGAAGGAAGGATTGGTCTTTGGAGAGTCATGTTTTCCCAAATGGTGATGAATTGCAACTCCCAGCATTCTCCACTCTTCCACAGTCTTTTTAGGGCTGCTGGGGATGGTAGTCCAGTAAGGTCTGGAGACACACACAGATGCCCTAGCAGGGAAAATTGGCCGGGTAATTGCTGCGGCTTTACTTGGAGGCATTCTGCAGCTCCTGAAAATCACTTTAACAAATTTTCCCTGGTTCAGCAAAGGCAACAAGTAATAAAACAAGCAGCAGGTACCGGTAATTAAAATAGCCCAAATTGTCCTTTCCAGCGTAGATGAAAAGAACCAGGGAAAGAGAAATCGCATCTGCCTCTTTGACCAACGGGAGGAGAAGTGGTAGGAAAAGTGTGGCGTTTCGGTCTGGGCACACAGCCTTGCCCACAGACACTGCCAAGGATGCACAAGCAGCTCTGCACAGTTGCCTGGGGAGGGGGGAGACTCAGGCAGAGAGCCAAGTGGTGTCACCTCCGGGGCCTCAGAAGCCAGGCGGAGGATCTGCACGCCTCAGAGCTGCCGGCTGCCCTCTTGCACCTGCCAACCTGGAGCCCCCCATCCTCATCCCGGCATCTCTTGCCCTCTCCCAGCCGCCCCCTGGGACCTGCCTGCCCCTCCAGCCTCCTGAGCGCCATTGCAGCGGCGGAGTTGCGGGAGCCCCTTTCCACGCCACGCAGCCCTTCACCGCCATGACCCTTCCCCAACTCGTCGCACACAAGAGGGGCACGGCTAGAGCGCCAGCTCCCGCTCAGAAGGTGCCACTTCTCCCTTCCTGGCCCGGACGGCTGGCCTCCGACCCACATGTGGGCATCGCCACTGCCTTGTCCTCTTCCCTGCCACCTGGCCACTTCTGATGCCCGGAACCTGGCAAGCCGGGTAGGAGCCGCTCCTGCCCACCAGCCCCAGGGCCGCACCTGGCACCAGAGGGCCGGAGCGGCCTCCGATGGTGAGGGAGGTGGGCTGGGTGGCACAGGGGAGGCTCTGGTGCAGTGCGGAGGGCAGCCGGGGCGAAGTGCGGCCGGGCAAGCAGGAGGCGTGGGGACTGGCTTGGCGCCTCAGCTCAGCTCAACCAGCAGCGGCGGCAGTGGCGGAGTAGCCCAGCAGCAGTGCCAGCAGTGACCCCGACCTGGCTCAACTGGGCCCGGCTGCCCATGCAGCTGAGCCGGCCTGGGGTGGCGTCAGGGCACATGCGATGGTGCTAAAGTGGAAAGAAATAGAATAACATAGAATAAAAATGAATAAGTATAATAATAATGATGATAATGAAAGAAATCACTAAAAGCAAAATGATGTGTCTGCATAATTCCTGGAAGAAAGCAGTGTTAGCAAAAAGCTGTGTGAATGACCTAATGTATATTTAGAAACATTGTATAAAAGTGAAACCTTCTATTCATTGTATGCCTGTGAGAAACTAACTGAAAATTATACAATGTAAGATTCCATCTATGCCCCTTTGTTCCTTAGAAAGGGAGAGCTATAAAGATTGTAATTTGGTCCCTCCCCCTTGTTCAGAAATTTGTTGATTGTTAATCACTTCTGAACCTTTGCGCAAAAATAAACCTCTCTGTTTCATCCTTGGAATTCGTAAAAGTCCTTTATTTTTTTAAGTTCTTTTACTTTTTCCACAAGAGCGCTGCGGCGGCAGGAGCAGGCGCTGTCAGGGGAGAAGGGTGCCCTGGAGGTAAAGGAGCTGGCGGTGGAGGAGGAGGAGGGCGGTGGCAGCGGCCAGATAGAGAAGCGGTGTCTCAGTTCCTAAGACCATTGGAAATATGTGTTTTTCGATGAAAGCATCGTTCAACCCCCAAAAGGGTCGCAACCCACAGGTTGAGAACTGCTGTGCTGGACAGTGCACAAACTGCTAATCAAGAATCACTGTTTTTCCTTGAAAATTTAAAATATCTGAATTTGTTGTTTCTGTTAAGCTCATAGTTTCCAAACTGTATGCCATGATGCCCCAAAGTATCAAAACCAGTTCTTGAATTGAGGGCACTGTGAAAAAACTACTGAGACACTATGGGCACCATGAGCCAAGAATGTTTGGGACCTACACACCTTTCCCAAGATTGGTTTAGTCCTGCCAGCTCATCAATGTCATCTGTAGTGGTCTCCATTAGTTTAATGGGGCCATGTGTCACAGCAATAATATATAAACCATCCTTACAGCATGTGGTTTCTATTTTTAAAAGCCCCAATGCATGTGAGAGATAACTTGTTTAATTATTTTTCAGCCATTAATTAAAAACAAGACCTTTACTTGTGAAACACACAATGTTAAATTAACTGCTTTATAACTTTTAGGAGTTTACTATGATAGCAACTGACAGAGCAGGTCATATTGTACTGAAAAGAATTGTAAGGCTACCAGATTATAATTAAAAAAGCTATAATTCTTCAAGAAAATGTGAAGGTAACTGTGTTTGCCATAATCTGTTTAATTCAAATTATATACAATACGTAGAACATCACATGAGTTTTTATCCTTGTTGAAAGCTCTCATTTTTAGAAAGCTGTGATTTGTATAAAGAGAAATATGTTGCATATTGTTACTCTAATTACATACTGTTTAAGTTGTTCTAACATATTAATGTTAAAGAAAACATAAGGAAGAAACAAAGCCGCTGGGATAAAATAATGTAACCCATAAATTTGCCACTTATGGAAAGTTAGGTAGAATCACGGTTCTTTATTGTTTGAATCTCACATATATTCAATGTCTTTTATTCTTTGATCATTTGCTTCCTGATGTATACATGTACCAAATGTATGTATCATTTGTTTCTGTACTGTACAAAAATATTCCCCTTGAATAAAGGCTGTTTACTTTGCCTGAATTACTTGGTGATTCATATTTTCGGGAGGGCAAAGAAGTCCCTTTGAAAAGATAAAAGTGTCTCTCTCATATTCAGGGATCCAGTTCTTATCAATTCCATGCCAAACTTGCATGCCTGAGTTTTGAGAAAACAATTAAATAAAATTAATCTAAAACCAAATGCTACAACTTATAACTGCAACCAGTATCTGTCATAATAACACATGAAATTTGGAAATGTCTCACCTAGTGTTTTAGCAGTTGTGCTTTGCACATGCAGGGGCAGCCAATGAGCATCTTCTGACAACCTTGTCAGTTATTTACTCAAGTAGTTGCTTAGCAACCTGATGGAAATGGGGGAGGGAAAGGATTCTTCAAAACAGAATAACAGTTATTTATTCCCTTGCAGTAATAAAGTAAAAGGTAAAACCCAATGAGGGTATAAAAAGCTAAGATAGAAGCAAAGTGAATTATCTTCCCTTCATCTTCAAGCTCCAGAATAGACTCCAACAATATGAATCGTATTTTAAGGATACCAGGAGTGGGAAAAGGCAAAAAGCTGCATGTATGACATCACATTTCATCCTTCATTTTTCCTATTTCAGTTGTTGTCAGAGCTAAGTGGACCAGCAAAAAAGTGGATTGAGGAAGGGTGCTTTCAGATGGAGCCTTTTTATGCAATTGCTTGTCTCATTCATGGAATTGTTTCTTTTAGTAGCTTTTCATTGTTCTTCACACCATTTTACTTTTCCCATCCCACAGAAAATCCTTTGGACAGGAAGGAGTGAGTGAGTGTTGAATGTCTTCTGATTAATTGCACTGGAAGCAATTAATGCTTCTAAATGCTTCCATTTAGAAGCATCCAACATTTGGTAGTTCCCCATGAGTGGATAATTTGTAAAATATAAACAAAAAGAAAAAAAACAAATAATAATTAAATCAGTAAACAAGACAAGCATGTCCCAAACAAATTTCTGATTATGAAACAGGCAGGAAAACAAGCAAACAAACAACACCTGCTATAATATTAGAAACAAATAAATATCAAACCACTACTGTGCTGGTAAATATAAAGTCCAGCTCCATTGCTATGTTGTGCTGAGCCACTAGATCAGGGGTAGGCAACCTTGGCTCTGTTATGACTCATAGGCTTCAACTCCCAGAATTCCTGAGCCAGCCAATTCTGGGAGTTGAAGTCCACAAGTCATAAAAGAGCCAAGGTTGCCTACCCCTGTACTAGATGCCTAACAGTTGATTGGTGCACTAAGCATTGTGGCTCAGTTCTGCTTTTATCCTCCTCACAAATT